CTTTAACACAGGGAAGTAATGATCAGGTAAATGCAACTCAAAATAATAATGGGAATGCTAGGGTTTTTTTTTTTTTTTTTTGCCTGTTTGTTTTTTAATAAGAATACTCAATGTGATATTGAGGTATAGTCCCATTTCTTTTTTTTTTTTTAATATTTTATTTATTTATTTGACAGAGATCACAAGTAGGCAGAGAGGCAGGCAGAGAGAGGAGAAAGCAGGCTCCCCACAGAGCAGAGAGCCCAATGTGGGGCTCAATCCCAGGACCCTGGGACCATGACCTGAGCCGAAGGCAGAGGCTTTAACCCACTGAGCCATCCAGGTGCCCCGGTATAGTCCCATTTCTTAAAAAGCAATATAGCAATATGTATCAAAGACCTGGAAAATATTTAAAACCATTGGCCCAGGAATTCCACTTCTAGGACTCCACCCTAACTTAATAATCAGTGGCATGGGCCAAGATTTATATACAAAAATGTTAATTGCAGCTTTATTTATAATAGTAGGATCTGAAAACCAAATCTACAAAAGTAGGGGAAAAGTTAAGGGAACGATAGTCCGTTCATGCAGTTCTTTATAGTAATGTTAATAAATTTGATTTTTAAGAATTTTTTTTATTTAAAAAAATTTATTAGAAAGTAATACAGTTAACCCTCGAATAACATGGAGCTTAGGGGCACTAAGATCCATGCTGTGAAAAACCTGCATATAACTTTTGACTCCCCAAAAATATAACTATTAAAGTTTTTTTTTTTTTTTAAGATTTTTATTTGTTTGACAGAGAGAGACACAGTGAGAGAGGGAACACAAGCAGGGGGAGGGGGAGAGTGAAAGGGGGAAGCAGACTTCCCGCTGAGCAGGGAGCTTCATGCGGGGCTTGATCCCAGGACCTTGGGATCACGACCTGACCGAAGGCAGACACTTAATGACTGAGCCCCCCAGGCGTCCCTCCAAAAACATAACTATTAATAGCCTAGTATAGACCGGACGCTTTAATGATAACATAAATAGTCAATTAACACTTATTTTGTATGTTATATGTATTATATATCATATTCTTACAATAAAATAAGGTAGAGAAAAGAAAATGTTAAGAAAATCGTAAGAGAAAATAGATTTACAGAACTATACTGTAAAGACTGCGTGTAAGTGGACCCGCGCAGTGCAAACCTATGCTGTTCAAGGGTCCACTGTACATGTAAAAAAGTCAGGCAGTACAGAAACGTAAAAAGTAAAGGTACGAGTTGCTCTGTGAGATTGCTATGAGGAAAAGGGAGTTTTCTCTTTCCACTGGGGTTGCCAAGCCTGGAAACTATGAATATGGGGCTGCCGGCAGCGTCCTCCCCACAGCAGGAAGTGAAATCACCTGGGGATGAAGCCAAGCACTGAGAAGCAGTCTGAGAGCTGGGGAGAAAGAAGGTGGGGAAGAGGGCTCTGCTTCTGGTCCCTTGAGTATCTGCAGCTCGTCTTTTGACTCTGAGAGCCACTTCAGCGTCCTTCCCACTAAAGGAGCTAATAAACAGACTTTCTGCCTTGACTTCTAACTGAACGAGTCATGACTAATACTGGGCCAGCTGCTTTGTTGGAATCAAATTATAGTGCTTGTGCTATAATTCTATTCTAATGATCAATTAATTCTTCCAACAACATGAAATGAGGTCCATGCAGCATGAAATGGGTTTGGTAAACCACTAAAGACCCCTAAATAATCCCCTTTCTTCACGGTCACAAATCATCCTGGGAATAGGCATCTGGTTCACAGAATACAGCGTCTGGAACACTTATTTTTCCTTTTTATGAAACTTAGGACAGCAAGTATCCCTATTTAGTCTCATGTCATCTCCTCCAACAGACTTTCTCCAAGATCCAGAGTTAAAGGCTTTGGGGTCATAATCTACAGCACTTTCAATATGCTGGGATAGAACTCATCTGGGCCTGAAGATTTTTAACCCGTTTAAGGCAAATTGGTGCTTTCTTCTGCTGCACATATCTTGGCTTTAATTTGCTCTCACTGCTGTTTCCCTTATTCTTTACAGCCTGAGGATCATTTTCTTTGATAGAGAAAAGAGAAAACACCATCAAAATAGACATTGGACATTTGTTTCTTTCAGTTATATGGTCCCTTACGACATATCAGCTGGTCCCAAGCGACAGGATTATTTTTTCTTTTTCCTTCTCGCTTTTAATATTGAGCGTTAAAAATACCTCTTCCCCCAATTAAAAAAAAAAAAAAACCCTTTTGTGGTTAAACCTCAGTGTATTATGTGCTGCCTACTTCTTGATCTCCCTGTTCACATCTGTGGTCCTCTTTTATACTTTCCTTTGTTCTGTGACCTTTCTATAAACCCCAATCCTTTAACATCCTGATTTCACTGAGATTGGGGTTCTTTGAGTGTACTCTTATTTCTTCTTCAACCAGCTCTTTGGAGTTTATAGGTCAGAATCTGTTTCTAAGCATTAGAACTTTATTCCTCTGAAACCATATACCTTTTTATAGTCTCTACTATGAAGTCACATGCATATAAAAACACAATATTTTTTTTGTTAAAAAATTCCTACTTATGAGAAAGTTTGAAGCATAAAGAAAGTATGTTATGGCAGAGACTTGCTGGCTCTTCTCCACCCACATCTCTGTTGTTTGCCCAGCAACTTCAGACCATCTCCAGACTGGGTAAACCAGTGAACTCTGAAATCGGGTAGGCAACCCATGCCTACTCCAAGCGGGTGCAAACTTTCCTTGAGTACTTGTCCTTAGCCCTAGGTACCATATAGAGTTTCCTTATTTCTTTGGTTATACTTTTATTGGAGTTAATTTTTTTTTAAAGATTTTATTTGAGAGAGAGAATGAGATAAAGAGAGCATGAGAGGGGCATCTGGTTGTTTCAGTGGGTCAAGCCTCTGCCTTCGGCTCAGGTCACGATCTCAGGGTCCTGGGATTGAGCCCTATATCGGGCTCTGCTCAGCGGGGAGCCTGCTTCCCCTGCCCCCCTGCCTGCCTCTCTGCCTACTTGTGATCTCTGTCAAATAAATAAATAAAATCTTAAAAAAAAAAAAGAGAGAGAGAGCATGAGAGGGGAGAGGTCAGAGGGAGAAGCAAACTCTCCACTAAGTGGGGAGCCTGATGCAGGACTCAATCCTGGGACTCCAAGATCATGACCTGAGTGGAAGGCAGTTGCCCAACCAAGTGGGCCACGCAGGCACCCCTATTGGAGTTAATTCTTGGCATTCTACTTCCCTTTAGCAAGGTAGAGAAGGGGCAAAGGAGAGCAATCACCAACAGTGGCATGGGGATGCCTTAGCAGCCTGGGAGCCAGCTGGAGTAGAAGGCTCTCAGAATGCCTAGACGGGAATGGTGGGGTTGAGAGAGGAAGGGGAGGCTTGGTGAGGGAATGACTGCTCAGTGTATGACTCTGGGGGCCACAGATAACTGTGCACAGGCCATTGAAGGGCCTGTCAAAGAAGTGTGGGCAGGTGGCTGCCTGCCGGCCTCACAAGACTCTGGTTTCTGGGTTACGAGGGCTGCAGGAAGTTTATTGCCAAACCAAAACTGTTCGGTCACAGAGGAATCGGGTTTGAGCCTGTGACCGGGGCAGACCCCACTGGCTGTTCTCAGAACCACACTCCCAACTTTTGCACTGCCCCAGAAATTGCAGGAAGCTTCTTCTTCCAGCACACTTTACTGAGAAGGCTTAACTCCGTGCCCACTTTGAAGGAGAAATGCATAAAGGATTTCCATTATTTATCACAGAGCCTATATTGAAGTGTGTGTCAGAGCTGAGAGGCAATAATTGATAATGCATTGACGACACAAGGACTTATGCTTGAAGTCTTTAGGATTTGAGGAGGTGCTTTCAAACCCCCGATTGCAGATGGCCTATAAACTAAGAATTTCAGTTTTTATAATGGGAAGTACCCTGATCAGTTATGTATATTCATTACAAATATAAAGCAGTTCAGAAGGCTAATAAGTATGAAGTGACAGTCCTTCATACCATTCCTTCGTCAGAGATAAACAGTTTTAATTATTTGGTTCCTTCCTTCCAGACTGCTGGCAATTAAATACATGACTAACACAAAATGGATGCCTTGCAGATTCTTCTTGAACTTTTAAAAACTTACTCTACCAAGGAATCACTCTATCTTTCTGAGTCGACACACACAAATCTATAAGACATGTTACAACACGGTGAGATTTGGGGTTGCTATCCCTCTCTAAAACCGCCCCATCCCCCCTTTCCCCCTGGGTTCCCGCGGGCTCCAGGATAAAACTGCTAAAGCTTCGTTTTTCACATACAAGATTCTCTCATTTCACTTGCACAAGTCGAGTCTTCCGCGTCCCGTCTGGGTCCTCCACAGCCAGCAACCCCTAGCCCGGCTTTGAAGAGGGTCTCAGGCGCCTCCGGGAGACTACGGAAGCGCCGTTCAGGATCGAGCGGTTTACCAACCCCAAGCACTCCCAAGCCTCCTTCAAGCCACCTGCGGGCGACCTCTGACCTCCGCACTCTGACCCCATCCATGCCGTCACGGCCACCCCGAGCACGCCCGGGCCCCGCCCCAGCACACCCGAGCTCCGGCACGGCCCCGTACTGGCTCCACCCACCTGTCCGGGCCCCGCCTACCCGGAATCATTCAAGCCCCCTGTCCCAGGCTCCGCCCACTGGGAGTCCTCACGGCTCACCGCTACCCCCCAACCCCCGGGGTCCGCCCACTTCGCCCTGGCTCCACCCTCCCGGAACAGGCTCCGCGCTTCCCGCCCCGGCTCCGCCCACCGGAATCTGCAAAACCCGCGCAGCCTTTGGCTCCATCCACCCGGAACTTGCGCCTCCCTCCCGGGCTCTGCACGCCCGGAACCTGCGTCGCTCGCTCCCCCCAGACTCCGCCTACCCCGTCCCTGGCTCTACCACCCGGGAACTGCACCAGCTGCCCCGGGCTCCGCCCCGAGGACCTGTGCGGCCCGCCGAGCGCCGGCTCCTCCCCCGAAGCTTGCCCGCGGGACTGGTCCAGTCGCTTCGCCTCAGGCCCCTGCCCTGGCCCAAGCGAGCCAGCCATGGAGGGGGATGTGCCCGCCGCTGCAGCCGCCTGCTACCAGCCGGCCAGCCCCCCGCGGGACGCCTGTGTCTACAACAGCTGCTACTGGTGAGGGGGCGCGGGTGCAGCCCCCCGCATCTCCCTGGCGCAATAGGTCTCGGCGTCGCTGCCGGGCCCCGCCTCCTCTCGGCCCCTCCCTGGGGGCGCTTTAGGCCTCGACTGGCGGGTTTTCCCGCTTGGGGGATGAGGGAGCGGGAATGGCAGCCCTCGTCCCTGGAGTGGAGTGTAGGCATTTGGAGAAGGGGGAGGTGCGGAATTCCCACGAATGGTAGGGTCGGTGCTGCATTACTGATGCCCAGCGTTTTTCGCTTGGACATTTCTCAGCAAATCTCAGTGCTTGGGGGCCAGGAAGGGGAGGCAGAGGGTGGAACGCGGTGAAGCTTTGCAGATTACTTTGCTGAAGCCTTTGTGGTTTCACACTGGTGGGAAGGTCGTTTGAATTTTGGAAGAGAATGGAGGAACGGAGATTTTGCAGTAACTTTCCCAAGGTCATCAGCTAACAGCGACCAGGAATCCAGTTCAGGCCTTCTGGTACCAGAAACCATGATCTGAACCACCCTGTTGTTATTATCATACCCATTACATTTACGTAGAACTTGCTGTATGCCAAACATTGTTCTGATTCGCTCGTGTAAGCTAATTCATTTGAGCCCCACAGTAACCCTACCAGGTAGGTACTTTTGTTATCCCCGTTTTTAAAGATGAGAACACTGAAGCACAGAGGGGTGCAACTAATTTGCCTAAGGCCACATATCTTGTAAATGAAGAAATGGGGATTTACTTGTAGAGTTGACTCTGGAGTCCACACACTCTACCCCTGTAGCAGGCCACCTGTGTGGCTGAATCACCCCTCCTACCTTAGTCTTTTTCACTCCCACACCTGAGTAATGACATCTTCCCCAACCTCCCGTTGCAAAAGAAACATCAAGCCCATCTAAAACTACCTTTTCCTCCTTTAGCTGCTCATCAAACCAGTGTCACCAAGAAGTTAACATTTGTTCAGCTCTGACTGACCACAGGTCAGGGCCAGTGTCAGTGTTTTCATCCATGACTGGGAGATAGGTTCTGTCATTAACCTCATTTTACTAATGAAAAGAGGAAACCAGGGAGAGGCTGTGTCCCAAGATCAAACATCTAGCAAGAGGTGATGCGCTATGGAACTTCCATAGTGCAGGAATCTATGTTCTTAATGACTACACTTTATTTCTGCCTTACCTCTCACATGAATTCCTTTAGTTCTCGTCTATAGTGTCCATTCATTGTTTTATTTATTTATTCATTAGATAAATGTTTATGAGGCACTTGGACTGTGATGTACAGCTGTAGGGATTTTGGGATATAGGGCAGGGTAGACAAATTTCCTAGTAAGATCTCATGGTTCATATGTTTTGGTTCAGGGAAAGCAGGCAAAACCAAGTAAACCATGTTTGGTGTTAAGTACTATGAGAAAATAAAGCAAGGTAAAGGATGGTGACTCATTATTTCATCATGGATATTTAAGGCATTGTTGATAAAGTGGTATTTGCGCAGAGATCTGAAGAAAAAAAGGGTGGGGCGCCTGGGTGGCTCAGTGGGTTAAGCCGCTGCCTTCGGCTCAGGTCATGATCTCGGGGTCCTGGGATTGAGTCCCGCATCGGGCTCTCTGCTCAGCGAGGAGCCTGCTTCCCTTCCTCTCTCTCTGACTGCCTCTCTGCCTACTTGTGATCTCTGTCTGTCAAATAAATAAATAAAATCTTTAAAAAAAGAAAAAGAAAAAAGGGTGGGAGCTTTGTGGATATTGGAAGAAAATCATTCTAGATAGGGGAGTAGTGGTGCAAAGACTCAGAAGGAAGCGTGCAGGAGTTCCAGGAACAAGGGTGCTGGCACAGCTAGAGTGCAGTCATCTGGTGGAAGAATGGTAGAGAATGGACGTCTCTTCAATAGATGGTCTCCTTTAAGTTCCTTCAGCCATGGGCCAGGCCCTCCTTGACTGGCAGGGGCCTGTTCTAGTCCTTCCTTAGAGGCCTCTGCCCCGGTCTCCCCTATCCCCTTGGGTCCGGACCCTTAGCTGGCTTCACACTGCTGAAAGCTATTCTAAATTCTGATGAGCCTTAGAATCACCTGGGGGCTTATAAAGCCAGCAGATCTTAGGGTCCCACTCCAGAGAGTCTGGAGGTGTGGACGGTACCGTGGAGGAGTCTTAGGCTCATCCATTGATCACACTTTCAGGAATGCAGTCGAGGAGTCTTCGGCTCGTCCATCGATCACACTTTCAGGAATACAGTCATAGACCGTAAAGTCTGTCTCCTGAGCATAGCAAGTCATTTTAGATCTGGTCACCGTGTGTTTTTCCAGTCTCATTTCGAACCTGCCTTCTACGCTGTAACCCAGGGTTTCTCAGCTGTAGATCTTTATTGACATTTTAAGCATGCTAATGTGGTGGGGGGTCTTCCCGGTATTGTAGGGCATGTAGCGGCATCCCTGCCCCCTACTCACCTAGATTCCTGTAGCCTCCTCACCCAATTTGTGACAACCCAAAATGTCACCAGATAGCGCCAAATGTTCCCTGGGGGACAAAGTCGCCTGTAGTTGAGGACCAGTATTCTGCCCTGTCCTAACCTATCAGGTAGGCACACCTTACTGTGCTTGCCCTCACAGCTTCATATGATGTGAAATCAGTGCCTCCTGTCTGCTGCTTTCAGCTTCGGTCAGTTGTTACCTGTTTAGAACCAGCTGAATGATAATAGCAGTAACCAGTATTTCTGTGTGGCATAGGTGGTTGGCAGGGCACGTCTGATTCTCTTGTAATTGTTTTGTACTCTTCTGATGTTGGTTGAGCACCCGCTGTGTGTCAGGGATCCTTCCCTTCTGCATGCTTCTCTGACCTCAGTCCATCAGCAGGAACCCTTGCACAATCTTGACCTGAATGCTGCTTTGTTAGTCTTTCTGCTACAAAATAATCAACCAGTAGGTTGGAACATAATTATTATAATCTCCCCCCACCCTCATTTTAAAGAGGTTCTAGAACTCACACCAAATCTGGGTTCTTTTTATTCCCAGCAGTAACTCCCTGCATTTCTAAGAATAAACCCTTCATCTCCTTTTTAGACATGGAGCCCGGCATAGGGCTTGAACTCTGGATCCTGAGATCAAGACCTACGCTGGGATCAAGAGTTGGATGCTTAACTGAGTCACCCCGGTGCCCCAAGGCCCCCTTTTTTAAACATCAAATGTTTCTTGAGATCCTTCTACATGATATTAATTGTACTCTTGAAAAAAAATTGATAAAAAAGGACTACAGATTCAGTAACTCCTATATTTAAAATTTTTTTTCTCTTTGTAACATTCATACACACTTGAAAAATAATAGACAAACTTTGTCCATTCACATATGTATTCAGCTAGCCACAGTACTTGTGGTACACATGGATTCTCAGACTGTTCTTGTTAATTCTTTGCTCATCCTTGGGACTGGGGGAGGGGGAACAAACCAGGAGAAACCACTGACCTCTACCTCCTCTATCTTCCCATGTCTCTCAAAATTAATGACTCCCTCTTCTATGCATCTTTTATGACCTTCTATGATGCTTGCTTATTTATGGATCTGTGTGTCTCCTCTCATTGTCTGTGAGCGCTCATTTATCATTACATCCTTCAAGCACTTAGCATAGTGCTTTTATATCACAGGCTCTTGAAGATGTCTGTGATTAACTCCAGAATGTCTACAGGCTGGACAGACAAGTGTCTTCTGATAACTTGGTCTTAGAACATCCAGATTTTGGGGCGCCTGAGTGACTCAGTCAGTTAAGTGTCTGCCTTCGGCACAGGTCTTGATCTCCAGGTCCTGGAATCTAGCCCTGCATCCAGCCTGCTTTTCCCTCTCTCTTTGCCTGCAGCTTTCCCTGCTTGTGCTCTCTCTCTCTCTCTTTCAAGTAAATAAATCTTTTAAAAAAAAGAACATCCAGGTTTAAAAAAAATTTAGCTAACACATATTTTATATCATAATGAAACAGTTCCTTTTTGTTACTCCCTACTGCATATCCAATGGAAGTAGTCAGTCGCAGTCTTCTGTTATTACCTCTACTGCTACTTTTTCTGTAAGATTTCTTAGGCATTTTAGAGATCACAGGAAAAAAATACACTTCTCTTCAGTACTTTAAGTGTACTCGTATGGAACATTTAGGCAGGTAGACAAGGTCAAATCCGTGCATTGAAAGTGTGTCTCCATAAACTGGTGGTAGTTCTTAGTGCCAGGCGCACCTTACTTCATCTTCAGGTAACGTGGTTTAGATGTTTGGAAATTAGGCTTTGACAGATTGAGTCGAGTATGAGCAGAGTGTTGCTGTGGCTCATTTTGAAGAAGGTTCAGTGTTGGCTCATCAGAAAAAGATAAGAATCCCGAGCTGAGCTGTGAATATTCGCTGCCGGCAATGACTGTGCCTGTGTGGGAGTGTGCCTTTGGCCTCCAGTGTGGCTGGGTTTGATGTGCTGGGCATTGCTTTACTTAGGTGGTTCTGTCTACTGCTTTACATATCTAAACGCCTGTCATAGAGGAAAGGAGATTGATCTGGGGCAGAAGTATAGGAAGATGGATTTCAGTTCAGCCTGAGAAAGGACTTCCTAAAAATCAGGACTCTTGTATCAGAGGGATGCAGGGAATCCTACTCACAGAGTCTCCCTCCGAAAGAATTCCTTGGCATATCATGTAACTGTGCCCCAGGCCTTTCCAGCCAGAAGCCCTCCTCCCCAACACACTCATCTTGCCCCTTTGCTTAGGGGAGCAGTGAACCGATATTAACTAAGATTTATCAAGTTTTTATAATACGGTATGATTATATCCATTTTACATATGAGAAAAGCAGATACGCACTTCAAGATGTTCAAAGCTTCTTACCTCGTAAGTGGCTGAGTTGGAATTCCAGCTGTATCTCAAGTCCCTGGATCCAAAGCTTGTGGAGTATCGATGTAGCATATTATCAGCTATGAAATGCCTCTCTTCGCGAGCACTGCTGGGGCAGGTAGCGAGCACTCTGGAGAAAGGTTGGCCCATGGTATAAATTGGGTCACACCTTGTTGGGGGATGTTTTAGAGGAGGGTCATACATCCATCAGTTATTGGATGAGGTGGTGTTTAAAGTCTCTTCCAACTTTTTTATGTCTTCATCAGTCTTCTGTTCAAGTTTGAAAGACCCATTGTTTAATTGTATTGATTAAACTGTTATTTTATTTCAGTGAAGAAAATATTTGGAAACTCTGTGAATACATCAAAAATCATGACCAGTATCCTTTAGAAGAGTGTTATGCTGTCTTCATATCTAATGAGAGGAAGATGGTAAGTGGTGAGTGATTGTAGAAAGAGAACAAGAGATTTAGGGTGACAATAGGAACTAAATATAGTATGGGTCACATGGCCCCAAAATGTGCTTTATAAAATACCGGAACATTTTAAAATTTATTTCTGAATGAGATTTTTTTTTTTACCCCTTTCAGGGCATAGTTGAGTTAGAAAAGTTTAGTCCCTTATTTGTAGGTCAAGAAATAGATGATGGTCTGCACAAATTAAGTCCCTTCTCTTTAGGTATGAAGTTAGAGCTTTTTAAATTGCTTAGGCTAGAGCCACATTCTTTCAGGTTTGAAGTAAAGATGTTTTTGTCTCTGAAGTTTAAATAGAATTATGGTAAACTGACATGAAGTATTAAAAAAGCAAGCCCTTAAAAAAAAAGTAACTTAAAAAAGCAAGCCCTTAGAAAAAGTAAGCCCTTAATATTTTATAAAGCACTTAAAAATATTTAAAGATTTATATTTTTAAGTAATCCTTACACTCATTGCGGGGCTTGAACTCACAACCCTGAGATCAAGAATCACACATGCCTACCAAAGGAACCATCCTGGCACCCCCCCGTGAAGTACTTTTGTAAACATCATCTCATTTGATGCTAATGGAAACACAGTAAAGTAGGCAGGGTTCAGACAACTATCTCCGTTTTATAGATGAAGAAATAGAGGCTCAGGGAGGTCCCACGAATAATGTGGGAAAGCAAGACTTGAACCTGCCAGGCCTTCTGATTCCCTTTTGAGGTCTCTTTCTACTCTCCAAAGAACATCAGATAATTAATTTTTGCATTTTCATTGTTACGAACACTTGGAAGGATTTAGATTTCTTCTTCATTCACCTTGATAGTTCGTTGCTTAGAAATATTTTATATTTTATTTACCTATTACTTTAAAGAATTTAGTAGTGGTGTAACTGAAGTCTTGGCTTATGAAATTGATTGTATTTTGTAGATACCTATTTGGAAACAACAGGCAAGACCTGGAGATGGACCTGTGATCTGGGTAAGATGAGCAATACAGAGAACTTCTGGTGCGTTAGTACTTGTAATTCCCAAGCGGTCTATGTGTTTCGGTAAAGCAGAAATGATGGCGCAGTAGAGAAAGGCTGTGATAATTATTGATAGTTGACCTCTTGGGAATAGATTTTATTTTTTCTAAGGTAGTACTTACAGATATGTTTTTATTTAATTTTATTATTCTAGGAAAGACTTTATTTTTTTAATTATTATTTTTTTTCTTTTAGTGAGCTCTACACCCAATGTGGGTCTTGAACTCACGACCCAGAATCAAGAGTTACATGCTCTACAGACTGATCCAGCCAGGTGCCCCATATAGGAAATATTTTAAATAGCTGATGTGGCAGATGTGTTTGTGATCTAGGCTGTTACCCATTTAGCCTACTGGAAGGAACTTTGGCCATATCTGGTCCAGCTGTACATTCTATTATCTGGATATCATGTTAAAAGTATAGGTTTCTGACTTAGTTGATATAGAGAAGGGTTCAGGAGTTAGTGTTCTTTGCAGACTCCTGAGTCACCATGACTAACACTTGAAAAACCCAGATCTACTCCAGCTCTTCTGTTTTTCAGGTGAAGAAACAAGCCAATGGGGGCCTGGGTGGCTCAGTGGGTTAAGCCTCTGCCTTCGGCTCAGGTCATGATCTTAGGGTCCTGGGATTGAGCCCTGCATCGGGCTCTCTGCTCAGCAGGGAGCCTGCTTCCCCGTCTCTCTCTCTGCCTGCCTCTCTGCCTACCTGTGATCTCTGTCAAATAAATAAATAAAATCTTTAAAAACAAAACAAAACAAAAAAAACAAGCCCAGAAGACAGAGTGAGAAGCTCAAAGTTATCTAGCTGATCCTTTCCAGTACACATCTATGTGTCGCCTTAACCTGTCCCTCTGAAGAATTGTTTATGCTAATAACATGAAGATAAAGTAAAAGAAAAACTCCATTTGTGATAATGTAGCAAGCATCTTATTTCTGATACTTATTTAAAATAAGTTATCATGTGAATTGGTTTCATTCATTTATTTAACCTATATTTAAATAGACTAAAATCCCTGGTCTCACAGAGCACATGTTCTTGCTTCCTTTACCAGCAGGTGTTTTGCTGTGCTAATATTAAAGCCCAAATCCAGTTTTGGGGTTAAGTCCCAGTCCTCCCAGTGGTGGCCCTATGAACTGGACATGTTATTTACCTTCTTTCTTCAGTGTCCTCCTCTGGCTAGTAGTGTTGCGAGTCTTTTTTAAAATTTTTTATTTTTTAAGATTTTATTTATTTATTTGATGGACAGAGATCACAAGTAGGCAGAGGCAGGCAGAGAGAGAGGGGGAAGCAGGCTCCCTGCTGAGTAGAGACCCCAATTTGGGGCTCGATCCCAGGACCCTGGGATCATGACCTGAGCCAAAGGCAGAGGCTTTAACCCACTGAGCCACCTAGGTGCACCTGGTGTTTCGAGTCTTAAGTTAGATAACCTGTGAGAGACATTGTCCTGGTACCTGGTTCTGGTGCTCAAGCCTTTCTTCTTAGCAACAATAGCTACGTAACCCTTGTTGCAGACTGTCCACGTGCCCTGGAAGTCATCCCCGTGGCCGAGCCACTCAGCTGACTTTGAGTCATGGTCTGTCTTCTTGGTTTAGAGAAACTTGCAGGGAAAGGACCTGTGGTTATGTCCCTCTTACACAGTGTCTCATGGCAGCCCAGAATAACTCCTGTTATGGTAAGGCCTCCCATACCTGCCGGCAAATGTATCTTACTCACTGCTTCCTGTTATAGGAAATGGTACCCTGAGTGGAGAGAGACACCTAGTCCCAAGAAGCTGATCGCCTATCTGGGTAGGCGCTGAACCCCACTCCGAGAGTGAGGCTGCTTCTGGGTCCATATTCCTTGACTACCCATCTGTGCTATAAAGGCCACTTGGAGTTGAGGCCTGCTTTCCCTTTCCTTAATGGTCCCAGCAACAGTCTGTGGTAACCAACACTATGCTTATCTCCAGTTTATAAAAGAGGAAGCTCAGGCTAGAAGGGACGGGCCGGAGGTTTGACCCGAGGGCCCTCACTTGAAGCCACCTGCTCTTTGCCGCTGTCCCACTGCCCTCAGCATTTGACAGTTTCCCCCTTTCTGCTCCTCGAGCTCCTGGAGGGTCAGGACTTTCCTTTCTCATCTTTGCATCTTTATTTCAGCTACACAGTTTCTCACAAACAATAGAGAGTGTGCACTTCAAAGCCACTGGAATAGGAGTAGAGGATGTCAAGCGGAAACAGATTTTGGATAAGGCAGGGACTGGCTGTGGTAGGAAGTGGGAGACTCCTGGAGAGAAAGCCAGCCCGCAGGGGATGGCAGTGGGGAGAGAGGAGGAAAGCTTGCTGCGGAAGGACAGGACTAGTACGGACACAGCCAGGGGAAGGGGGGTTGCTCGTCCATTATTTATCTGGAGGGTAGCGTGCATTAAGGGGAGTGCAGGGCGTAAGCATCCATTTCTGAGGCTGTTGCTGCCTTATGAAGATAGCATTGGAGCCAGCGCAGGCTCTTTTGGCTTTGATGGCAGAGCATTTCCAGTCTCAATTAATCACCTTCCCCTCATCATAGGGTCAATGAACAACGTCTGAGAAAGTGCTCTGTAAGCCCTGAAGTCCTGGAAATAGAAGGTAGTGGTACTAATGCCACACTCATGTGATTGAGCCTTTCATCTCCCAGTCTTGTTCTCTGGGAGGCGCCTTCATAACTATCCCCCTGCCCCCACCGGCCCTTCCAGCTGGTAGCTGGTGCTGGGCAGTGCCCAGCATCGGGGACTCAGTGATGCCTCACAGCCGAGCTGCACAGGAGAAGTTGTCTTCATCTTTCCTCCTTAATGGCTACAGATGGGGGTTGGCCGATTTAACAACAACATTTTAAAAGTTCTTTCACATTCCAGGCTAGCCCAAGCAATCCCCTTGGTTAATACTTTGGAGGATATCCTTGCACAGCTTTTCCTTTGTATTCATATGCATGCGTGTGTACTTTGGAATGCATGTGTGTCTTTATACACACATAACTTTTTAAAATTTTTATTTTTATTTATTTTTTTAAACAATTTCTTTCTGTTTTTATTTACTTATTTTTTAAAGATTTTATTCATTTATTTGACAGAGATCACAAGTAGGCAGAGAGGGGGAAGCAGGCTCCCCACCAAGCAGGGAGCCCGATGGAGGGCTCAATCCCAGGACACTGGAATCATAACCTGAGCCGAAGGCAGAGGCTTTAGCCCACTGAGCCACCCAGGCGCCCCGACACATAGCTTTTTAAAAAAAATTTTTTTTTTTTTTTTTTTTAAGATTTTGTTTATTTGACAGACAGAGATCACAAGTAGGCAGAGAGGCAGGCAGAGAGAGGAGGAAGGAAGCAGGCTCCCTGCTGAGCAGAGAGCCCAATTCGGGGCTCAATCCCAGGACGCTGGGATCATGACCTGAGCCGAAGGCAGAAGCTTTAGCCCACTGAGCCACCCAGGCGCCCCCACACATAGCTTTTAAAAAAATAATACATTGGGGTGCCTATATATGTATATGTATATATAGACCTTTACATGTGTAGGGCCTCTAGGATGGGTTCCTAGAGGTAAAATTGTTAGGTCAAAGAGTATATAGTTAATGTATATGAACATTTCCACTACCTACTTAAGTGTTCTCTGTGACTGGACATTTAGTCCTTTTTTAGGGTTTTTGTGTTTGCTTTGTTTTATTTTGCTGTTTTAGGAAGTGTTGTACTGGTCTTTGTATTCATTGTTAATGATTATATATGCATTATTGCTATGACCTTGGAATTCACCATCATGAAGTAACTTGGTTAACTTCAGCAACTTTTACTTCTAGGATTACCATGTTGTCCTGCTTCATGTTTCAAGTGGAGGACAGAGCTTCATTTATGATCTTGACACTGTGCTGCCATTTCCCTGTCCTTTTGACACTTACGTGGAAGATGCCTTTAAGTCTGATGAGGACATCCATCCACAGTTCAGAAGGTGAGGAGATTCAGGATGGGTTTACCTTCTTTCTGAAGTTAGACCTTGATAGTTGTACGGAGAGTTTGTGTGAGTGTGTATGTATGTGATTTTGTGGGTTTCTTTTTGGCATTTGTTTTGCAAAGATCGCTTGATTTGGCATCACCATTGAGTTGATATTTGAAAATGATATGTGCTGTACAAAAGATTCAAAACGTTTTGAAGTTTTTTTTTTTTTAAAGATTTTATTTATTTATTTGTCAGAGAGAGAGAGGGAGAGAGAGCAAGCACAGGCAGACAGAATGGCAGGCAGAGGAAGAGGGAGAAGCAGGCTCCCTTGATGAGCAAGGAGCCCGATGTGGGACTCGATCCCAGGACGCTGGGATCATGACCTGAGCCGAAGGCAGCTGCTTAACCCACTGAGCCACCCAGGCGTCCCACGTTTTGAAGTTTTAAAAGTTGTCCGGCATAGGGGCGCCTGGGTGGCTCAGTGGGTTAAGCCTCTGCCTTCGGCTCAGGTCATGATCCCAGGGTCCTGGGATTGAGCCCCGCATCGGGCTCTCTGCTCAGCAGGGAGCCTGCTTCCCCCTCCCTCTCTGCCTGCCTCTCTGCCTATTTGTGATCTGTCTGTCAAATAAATAAATAAAATCTTAAAAAAAAAAAAAGAAAGAAACAAATACATATTTAAAAGTTGTCCAACATATAAAAGGTTGGCATTCTTTAAAAAATGGGTGTGATGAGATCCCAAACATTTTCTTTTTTTTTTTTTTTTTAAAGATTTTATTTATTTATTTGACAGAGAGAGATCACAAGTAGGCAGAGAGGCAGGCAGAGAGAGGAGGAAGCAGGCTCCCTGCTAAGCAGAGAGCCCGATGCGGGGCTCGATCCCAGGACCCTGAGATCATGACCTGAGCCGAAGGCAGAGGCTTTAACCCACTGAGCCACCCAGGCGCCCCCCAAACATTTTCTGAAAGCCATTTTGGGGATTTCTCTCATCCACGTGTATGTGGGTGGGTGAGTGGGTGGGTGGGGTGTGGCCTTAATGATGAGAAAATTGAGAGGTCTGTGATGGCAGCACCTGAACTCATGTTGCCCTTTACTCCTGATACACAATCGAGTAAATCAAGGCCCCTGGACATATTTCTATGCCTGTGTAGTTTTGGATTTCAGCTGATCTTTCTCATGGCTCCTTTAATACGTGATAAAACTATATAGATATTTGTGTATTACTGATCGTACAAAAATGCCTGGGTACTTCTGTGTGTGTCCTAGATAATGAGTCTGTATAAAAATCGACTGGATATTTCGCTGTGAAACCTTCCTAATGTATACGAATGTTGCTTTATCTGCAGGAAATTTAGAGTGATCCGTGCAGATTCATATTTGAAGAACTTCGCTTCTGACCGATCTCACATGAAAGATTCCAGTGGGAACTGGAGGGAACCTCCTCCTTCGTACCCCTGCATTGAAACTGGAGGTGAGCCAGAGGTGCCTTCTCCGGGAGGTTTCTGACCACCGTGCAGATCAGCATTGCCCCTTAACCAGGGACAAAAATTGTGTGTTACTCTTTGTACGACACTCCCTGAGTTGTAAGAAGGTCAGAGGGGGCACAGATGTGTGTGTTTATTAGGTTCAGGAGTTGAGGCCCAGAGAGCAGGACTGGAAAGTGTATGAGCTCACAGAGAGGGGAGGTGCTCAGGAGCAGAACCACGAGACTTGCACACCGCTAGCGTGCTGGGTGTGCCTACTGCCGGGACACTGGGCTTCAGGAGGTCTGCGTGCTTGGGTCATTTAACAGTGGGACAAGTAGAATCTTGCCGTGGTGGGGTTTCACGTTAAGGCGAAAGTCCCTAGGCATCCTTGCGTGATGTGAAATGTCATTTTCCTGGCTCTGTGATAAAATCTGCATTAGAAGAAAGTGAGAGCTGGCAGGTTTTATTGTACCACTCATCACATTTATGTGCTTTTAGGCAGCCGTCCAATTAATAATTTTCTGAGAGTTAAGTAGATAAAGAGTTCTTCACCCTATTACTATTGTTTGCCATTCACAGGAGCTTGAAACATTATTGATGTTTGTACGTAATTTGCAACGTTTGCCATTTCTGGGTGGGGTCATCCCGTCCCAGGGATGAGACCTTCTGCGTGCAGGTTGCTCTCTAAGCTATACAACACACCAGAAAAATAGGACAGTGGCATCCGGAGTTGAGCAAGGAAGAAAGTAAATCTGTTTGGTGTATTTGAACACTGAAAGAGGATTCAAATGGACTTTTGAGGCTCTCTGTGAAAAGCTCTCTCTCATGATTTTAAACATTTGTACTGGAATTGCTTTTGGGTCTGCCAACCTGCTTGCTAGCCTCAGCGTTAGAACTGGGACAGCTCCTAGGTTAGGAAGGGGTGTCATAGATCTTCCTTTTAGTCTCAGGCAAGCTGCCGTATATGGTGTGGCCTGGGACAGTGTGCCTTCTGCCACTGCCCTCCCCCTTTTCTCTTCAGACATGAGGCTCCAAGGCAGAGCCTAGCACGTAGCAAGCACTCAGTAAACACCAGCCTGTCAGCCCGGATCCTCTCTGAGTCATTCCTTTCAGTTTTGATGACTACTGCCCAGTAGATGCTATTTTGTGTCAGGCTTTGGTGCCGGCCGCTTTACATAGTCGTTTAATAGAATTTTCCCCACAGCTCAGGCAGGCTTTATTTTCCACATGTGGTGGATGCATAAAGTGAGGGGCATGGAGGTTACGCCCTTTGCCTCGGGTGCACAGCCAGGCAGGATGAGCGGGCGGCCTGGTGCAGGCGGTTTCTGCCTTGCGTGTGCTTAGTTCATCAGGGACCTCCTGAACTTGAGATTGAAACTGAAAGGAATCTGCTCTGAAGTGTGGGGCGAACATATGGGTTTCCCATGTCCGAATGTGACCCACTGTAACGGCTTCTCATGTGGTGAACTCAGTACTTCAAATCCTGTGTTTGTCAAAGGATTATATTTGAAGTTAGGATAAGGGAGAATTACTTTTAGCTAATTAGTAGTGTTTTATAAAAAAAAATGAAGGTTAAAAAAGAAAAAAATGGTTCAAGGAAAATACTGACCCTTAATGCCTGTTTCAGGTACTTTAATAGCATTTCCCTGCGTCCCCCGCGCTCTGTGGTGGGATTGATTCTTAGGGCTTGAATTGAGTGTATTTGGTATGTTGACTGTTAGGATTATATGATTAATAATTTTGGTGGCCATATGTCTGCAAGACCACTCTTCGGTTCAGCATTTAGTGTCCACCCCCCCCCCCCGGGGCCATGGGAAGGAAACCGAAATTTATAATCGTATCACCTTGTCCTGAAGAGTTAGTTCCAGCACTGGTCACTGATGGCTCAGTTTTCAAAGACATTTCCTAAGTCTTGGGCTGAACTGTAGAGCACACCAAATTTCTCCCTCTCTTTTCTGAGTCCTTTCCTGCCTTTTGTCTGCATATACCTCCCATCCTCTTGCTTCCTAATGTATAGCAACAGTGGTTTATTTGAACCAAGCTGGAGGACCAGTAGTGTTAGGTGAACAGAAATGTTACAGTCCCCCCCCATGGGCGAGGTTAGAAGAGACAGATATTTATTTGTTATACCTTGATCTCTCTAAAATAATTTTTATTTATATTTTGTTTTTAATACATTGATCTTTTTACATGATGAATGACTGCAGATAGTAATCATTTTTTATTTAGTTATGTTAAGTCTTAGAAAACGAAAGAGAAAAGGGGGGATGCCTTAGAAAACAAATGCTATATTTCAAAAGTTGAGATTTCTTTTTAAAGGCATTTGTTAAAAATTTTCGCAAGCCTGCTGGCCTCTGCGGAGTCTGGCACCTAGCCAGGTCAGAGGGAACTCCCACCCCATCTTTCCTGATAGGTGCCTGTCTTCCCTTTATTTCTGGTTAGATGGGGATCTGGCATTCCCAGCTCTCTGATGACTTCAATAAAAGTTCTGTGTCTGCTGAGTATCTAGCTTTTGTGTTAGAAGGGTGTTAGCAACTCTGTTTCTAGTTTTCTGCATCCTCAGTGCTTATGTTCATTTTCGAAAGGTACAGTTGTGGGGTCGCATGTACTAGTCCTACATGTTTTTGCTTTCAGTTGTTTAAAGCAATCTCTCTCTTGTTTTCTGTTTGCCTGGGCTCTGATCTTGTTTTGTTACGCTGAGTGTTTTCCCTCTCAGTTTTTTTTTTTTTTTTTTAATATTGTATTTATTTATTTGACAGAGAGACACAGCGAGAGAGGGAACACAAGCAGGGGGAGTGAGAGAGGGAGAAGCAAGCTTCCCACCAAGCCGGGAGCCTGATGCGGGGTTCGATCCCAAAATCCTGGGATCATGACCTGAGCCCAAGGCAGACGCTTAACGACTGAGCCACCCAGGTGCCCCACCCCTCTCAGTATTTTTAAAGGTTTTTTTTTTTTCTTCGTCACTAGTTTTTAGCATTTTGATTATGATGGACTGTAGTGTAGTTTCCTTTAAGTTTACTCCACTCGAGGTTTGTTAAGATCCCGAGATTGGTGGATTTATAGCGTTCATCCAATTTGAAAACTATGGCTGTTATTTCCTTGAATATTTTTTCTTTTCTTTTCTTTCTTTTTTTTTTTAAGATTCTATTTATTTATTTGAGGTGGAATGAGAGTGAGAGAGAGCGAGCACAAGCACGGGGAGTGGCAGGCAAAGAAAGAAGCAGACTTCCTGCAGAGCTGGGAGCCCATTGCAGGGTTCGATCCCAGGACTCTGGGATCATGATCTGAGCTGAAGGCAGACGCTTAACCGACTGAGCCGCCCAGGCGCACCTGCTTGTACATTTTTTTCTGACCACCCACCCTCCTTTAAATTCTTTTTTTTTTTTTTTTAATTTTTTAAAAATTTATTTGCCAGAGAGAGATCGCAAGTAGGCAGAGAGGCAGGCAGAGAGAGAGGGGGAAGCAGTTCCCCGATGTGGGGCTCGATCCCAGCACCCTGGGATCATGACCTGAGCTGAAGGCAGAGGCTTTAACCCGCTGAGCCACGCAGGCGCCCCCCTCCTTTAAATTCTTGTTCTTCAGCTACACATGTGTTAGATGGCTTGGTATTATTCCTGTAGGTCAGTGATGTTCTCTTTTTTCTTTGGACTTTTTCTCTACTTGCTTCGTTTGGAATAATTCCTCTATTTTGGCTCTAAATTCATTGCTCTTGTCTTCTGCATTCACGAATTTGTTGTTAATCTCATACAACACACTTTTTTTTCCATTTTACATATTTTATTTTTTTATGTCTAGAAATTCCATTTTGGATTGATTTAATATCTTTCGTTTCTCTCTCTTTTCATCATGCTCATGTTTTTCTTTACCCTTTTTGAACATATGGGGCATGTTTTTAATAGCTGCTCCTTGTCTGCTGGTTCCATTATTTCTGTCATTTTGGTCCATTTCTGTTGATTGATTTCTCCCCTGGTTTTGGGTCATATTTTCCTGTTTCTTTGTGTGATTTGTAAAATTTGGTTGGAGGCTGGACTTTGAATTCATGCTGTCAGTTGCTGGGTCTTGAGGTCTTTTTTAAAAACAGTGTTGGCATGCAGTTACGATACTGGGAGTCAGCTGGGTCCTTTCCACGCTTGTTTTTAAGCTTTTTTAGCGCTGGTCCAGAGCAGCCTTTCGTCTAGTGCTAATTTAGCCCCAGGGCTCTGGTGCCGCCCTTCTAAGGACTCTACAAATGCTCTGTGCCTTACAAGTTCTCTCTCCCCAGGCTGGTGGGGACTGTGGAAGTTCTGCCAGTTCTTAGATCGGTTACATTCTGGTGCTCCTTTCCTGGCCCTGGGAGGTCAGTCCCAGCCAAAGACTTGGGTGTGTGTCATGGTCAGGGTAGGTGGGGAGTAGTGGGGGGGGGGTCTGCTCTGCACCTCCTTCTCCTGGACCCCCTGCGTCCAGCTGCCCAGGATGTCTGTCTTCTCGCCTCAGGGAGACTGCCATGCTGGGTGTGTTCCCCTCTGTGTGCTGGGGTCTGAAAACTGCTCCTGAGGTCCACTGGGGGAATCCCAGGGCTCCCCTTACTTGTTTCTACTTCCTTAGGAATCCTAGGTGTGTGCTGCCTGTTGTCCCACCATCTGGAAAAAGTTGTTAAATATATTTGCATGGTTTTCTGTAGGTTTACGGTGGAAGAGTAGTTTCTGTAACAATTTTTTGCTGGGCAGAAACAGCAATATGTACACACTTAAACATTTTCTTCAGTGTGGAGAATTTAAATCATATACTGAACTGGACTAAATAGTGTGTCAGATTTTCAACAGTTACCAGCTCATGGCCAGTCAATTCCCATCCACTTGCCGCCTTCTCATATTATTTTGAAGCCAGTCTCAGATACTATGTCATTTCAACTCTAAATGTTTCAGCATGGATCTCTAAAATAGAAGGCTTTCTTTAAAAAAAAAAAAAAAAAAAAGACCATTGTACCATTATTTTAGCTAAAAAAGTTAACAGTAATTCTTTAAAA